TGTGCATTGTTAGGGTCATTCATTTTTCTAATTGCTTTCTTTTTCTTTGGCTTACCTCGGAATACTAGGTAAGCATTTTTGGCTTTAGCATATTCATGTGTGTGATTGTTGCCATGCTTAGCATCTTACCATGAGACTACGTGCTTACTCGAAATGAACTGTTTGAATACTTGTGGATGAAGGTTATTTTACTTGCATTGGGGATGATTTTGATCAAATGTATGTATGAGCTCATTTCTTTCCTTTTGAGTTGTGCACATTCAAAACTCTTTTAAAAACAAATCACATAAAATCAAGTCATTTCCAAAGCAAGTGAAACAGTCTATACTTGTGTGCCTTACCTAGTAAGTTAGCATAATAAAATCAGAACAAGAGCATATAATGTTGAAAATCACATTATGACTAGTAGAGGCCGATCTTTTATTGGGTGAGTGGGGTGCTCAATTCATGACATTTCCCTCTCATACTTAAGTTCCCGAACTGTGACAACTTTGGTTACAACAGACAAGTGGCCTTTGGCATGAGTCACGAGTTTCTTAAATTTCTCAAAAATATTTGGGTAGTGACTTTGAAATTTGGCAATGCAGTCCATTTTTGGCATTTTTGATTATTATTGGATTTTTTAAGATTTGCCAGATTTGGACTTTCATTTGTTCTTTTTATTTCACATTGCGCTTGTGAAACTAGATTTTGAACCACGGGAGTTTGAACTGTAGGGCTATCATATCCGAGGAGACTAAACCCCCCCGAGGAGCACGAAAAAGTCAGCTACAACAGGTTTCCTAATTTTTCTAGAAATATTACATGGCGACTCTAAGATCTGGTGATGTAGTCCATTCTTGACAAAGATTTTGTATTAAAACGAATTTTTCATAAAAGTTACCAATTCTGAAATCTCATCTATGTTTCACATTGCACTCGTGAGACTAGATCAAAGAAGTTGAGAGTCTAATCTATTTAACGCGCACGGGTTCCTCCCGGGCATGTTACATATCGATTTCTTCGATCTAGTTTCACGAGTGCAATGTGAAACATAGATGAGAGTCTAGATTTGACAACTTTATAGAAAATCCATTTTATTACAAAAAAACCTTTGCCAGAAATGGATTGCCCCACCTGATCTTAGAGTCGCTACTTAATATTTTGGAAAAATTAAGAAACCAATGACCCATGCCAAGGCCACTGTTTGTCATAACCAAAGATACTTGGCTTGGAACTTTAGGTATGATGGGGGAAGGTCATTAATTGAGCACCCTCACTCACCCAATCAAAAGATCGACCTCTACTGAACATGATATGAATTTTATTTGCTTTATATATTTATATTCTGATTTATTTAATATTCCTAAAAGTTACTATGTGAAATGAAACAAGTATAGATTGTGTCATTTAGTTTGGTACAACTTGATTTCATGTATTTTGAAAGAGTTTGAATAATGTTCAATTCAATTGAAATTGAGCTGACAAATACGAAAATCGATATTATTTGAAATTGAACAACACAACCTTCATCCACTAGCATTCATAGAGATATATCAAATAAGCAAATAGCCACATGGTAGGATGCTAAACATAGTAAGAAAAACACACAAAAGAGGGATGCTAAAGCATAAAAACTCACATATTTGCTAGCGCCCCGCGAGTAGCTACAAATCAAAGTTAGCAAAATATGCATGATCTTGGATGCAAAATTTTAATGCAATATATACGTAAAAATGTGACTAGAGATTCGGCTACTAATATATAACATATGAATCATCTCAAAACATGAGGTAACGAACCTAATCACATAAAAAAATTGATTAAATTCACAGATGCAAATGAGCCGAATCTTGATGCATGAAATATGGATGCAAAGCGTGGGTAAGATAAAAAAGAAAATATGATGCTATTTACAGAATATGGAAAGCGAGTAAAAAGGGATATAAAGAAATGGGCTTAGAAGACATGGAAAGGAGTAGAAAGAAACAGGGGTTCAGAATTATTACAACACTAAATAATTACAAAACCAAATAAAAAGACGTGAGATTGGGAGATTATTACAACACGAACCGAATCTAAAAAATCGTACGAATAAAATAAAAAAAATATAAAAAGTTACTATTCATCCGCCGATTACTATTCATCCGATGGAGCACTATTCACCTGTCAGAAATAATTATGTCCGATATGGGTTGATTGCTCTGTTTTGCTCGGGAAAACAAATTTGGAGAGAGCACTATTCATTCGGGGAGCATTATTCATCTGGTGGTACTATTCACCCTCCTCGATCTTTATTCATCATATTGGTCATTTTTCATCCACTGTTACTATTCATCGCCGGGTTACCAAGGCCGGCCCTGAGATTTAGAGGGCCTAAGGTGAATTTCGAAATTGGGGGCCTCTCTTACATTGAAAAAAAAAAAAATTTTATGGATAAAACGATAAGTTACAACTTTTTTATTTATTTGTAGTCACAAAAAAATTTACTTGCACATATAATCATTAAAATTATAAACAAAACAATTTAATGAAACAAAATTAGGACAAAAAAATTAGGAAAAAATTATTCCTTTAAAACTGATAAAGACTTAGGTAAAAAAATTAAGGCAAATTTATTTATTTCACTAAAATCAAATAGATAAAGAAGGAAATAAAAAAAAAAATTTGGCTTATATATTGTATGTATTGTTCTTCTTGGGCCCAAACACTATTTTTTTTAATATATGTTTTCATTTCAATAAATATGGGCTAAACTATACTTATAAATAAATATGGGCTAAACCATACATGGACCCAATAAAATATTTTGGGACCCTTTAAATTGATCCTAAAAAAAAAAGAAAAAAACATTGGGCCTATAACATTTTACTAAATTTGGGGGGCCTAAGGCACAGGCCTTACTGGCCTTAGGCCAGGGCCGGCCCTGCCGAGTACTATTCACTATCGGAAATACTATTCACCGCTGGTCACTATTCATCCGGTGGGTCACATCTTCAACAAATTAGGTGGTTTCGATCGACCATTTCAAGTAATAAATTATAACAATTTATGTAGGTGGTGTGACACTGATCATTCAAAGTGGTAAATTACAACAGTTTATTTAAAGCAATAAATTACAATAGTTTATGTACAACAATAAATTACAACAGATATGTGGGTGGTGCAATCTTTCCTTTAAAGTGATAAAGAGTTATATAAAAAAAATAGTAAATTACAACCGATATGTCGGTGGTGCGACATTTCCTTTAAAGCAATAAATAAAGCGATAAATAAAGTAATAAAAGAAATTAAATAAATTATATTACATTTTTAAATTTAAATGAAAGTTTGCGAAAATTCATCTTTTGGAGAAATGACGAATTTTCTGATTTACAAAATTTTTTTTGATCACCCTCAAGATTGTGGAATGTGTTCTCAATTTTCAGTCTAAAATTGGGAATTTTATCTTTAATGGTGTTTGGTATATTGGTGAAAAGGCAATAGAGAGAATGAAAAGAAATGTTTGATTCAAAAAAATAAAATATCTAAGAAAATTTTTCTCTCTTAAAAACTAATTTTTGTTCTTTCCTTCTTTTCTGATTTTTTTTTTTCCTTTCCGTTCTCTCTCTTTTTTGATTTTTTTTCCTTTTTTGATCTCCTCCCTCAATTCCCTCCATCAGCTCCAGCATTTTATTGGCAAGAACCTCAACAAACAAACAAATTTTGAAACGGTGGAGAGGATGAATTTTCAAATGGTGCATAGTGAAAATACTGTGCAAAGTTGAGATTTTCAAACGGTGGAATGATTTTCAAAAGTTGCATAGTAAAAATACTGTACACTTTATAATATAATAATATATAACAGGTATTATTTGCATAAATATATGTATAAATTTTCAAAAAAAATATATAAGCATACAAAAATATGTAAAATTATAAAATAAAAAATAAATTGACTAATAAAATATATTTTAGTGGGCAAATATGTAAAATTTAGACTAAAATAGATTTAAAACAATTTGGTTAAAATGGGTGAAGGTTGGGATTAAAACTTAAATTCTATCTTTTCATTAAGAATTTTGTGAGAAAGCATATTCTTATTTTCATCCTCGGCTAATAAAAAAAAAATCACTCAAGTATTTGGACCGGTCAAAATAGAGTGATGTTTTGACGTAATACATAGGTGCCATACTTGTACACTTAGTTTGATAAGAATAGATACAACTTAGTGATAGATACAATATTGAATATTTGGATATTCAAGAGTCTTATCTCAACAAGTAGAATTATCCGATGTTGGGTCATCCGTTTGACCGGTTCAATTAAAAGAGTCTGGTTGAAATAAACATATTTATATATAAATATAAAGTAATTCGAACTGAAATTTGTATAATTCAACTACAAACATACCTTAAGTATCATCCCATCTGTCAAGGGAGAATGACTGTTTGCATCTGAATCTAATGTCTTAACGGAAGTGGTTGGTTTATTAGAATGCAGTAAAATGGAGTGATGATTTTATCAAAATATTAATTTCTATGTTTTTTCGAGATAGAATAAACTGCATAGATATATTTATAACAACAACTTAGTCCACAAGAAGATCACAAAAGACCAAGGTTATACACCACTGGCCAAAGCAAGTCTTGCTACTTTATGAGCAGCTTGCACCATCTTCATAGGTACCTTAGTAACACATACATAGTAGCACACACCATCTAAGAAAATAATAAAAAATATATAATAATGGAATAATTATTTCATACGGAAGCCAAATAAATGATCATTCCATTCTATTTCATTATAGGGAACCAAATAGAGCATAAGGTAGTGTTTGGCTCATTACAATGGAATGGAATAGAATGGTCATTCTATCAATATGTTCATTATCATGTGTTGACATTGCAAATGAAATTATCATTCATCATCGTAAGAAAATGACCATGCTATATGGAAGACTGAGAAATAACCATTCCAACTCATTCGATAAACCAAATAAGCACATCAATACCAAAATGAATGCTACTAACACCAGCATATAAGAAAACAGTGAAGAAAAAGCATTCCTTGAAAAGTTGAAGACAGAAACACAAGTGACCTCACAGGCACATACATACATATATACATATAAACTACATGTAATCTATCAATTAAGTTCCAAATGATATTTTTTAAGGTTCTATATGTGCACGCGCACACACATATTCAAGTTGTTCTTGCTTGCACACACACACACATATATATATTCATTTGAAAATATATGAGTGCAATTGTTAATTGGTCAGAGAAGCTCTAGGAAAAGACTAGCTCTAGGATGGAGACCAGCATCTTTGAGAGAGAGTCCCATCTGATCAACACCATAGACTTTTCTTGGGAAGCTTGATATTAATCTGTAGTTTCCAACTCCACCACCCAATCCCACTGAATCTATGTATCTGTATATTGCTTGAACCTTGTCTGAGGATAAGAAGCTTTGCTCTCTTTTTTCTCCATTTGGAAACCTTATCAATATCTGTACATGTAACAATCACCAACCAATTTAACAGCACACAACAACAATGTCATTTTACACATTTATATCTCAATTTTTAGGCTTGTGATCCTCTATCTCAATTATTTTTTTGTCCCAACTCTATAGCCCACTTTCGTAGTTCTGCCACATCGTCAAAATTTAAAATAAAAAATCACTTTTTAAAGATGCTTAATTGTTAAAAATAAAAATAAAAAAACAAATGAACTGCATTGAATTCAAATTGTGAGGACACCAGAACAATATGAGAGCAGGACAGGCAGTTGGGATAGAGAACAAGGACAGGGGATTCGAAGCCTCAAGATTAAGCTACAAGGTAATGTTAGTTTATACTTTGTAGGATATGATTAACGAGGTAAGAGGGGATTCACTGAATTTTATATCTGTGGGTCCAAACAGGACTCTTGATATAAAGTCCTTCAGTTTGCACTATACAAGTCTCATAATACCTATAATTAAACAATGTTATATACCTAGAAAAGTGCCAGTTTATATCAAATTTATTTTGAGTGTGACTAACTCTATATTAAATTCAAATCTATGATTTTTGAACTTTTTAGTATTAATGTGTGTCACACCCAAAATGAATCTGATCCACACTAGACACCTTTTTTTTAAATAAATAAACATTACTGATACGTAATCTCAGCTTGATTATCCTAAATATTACTAATCATGTTCTATAGCCCTATGTATAACATATCCCCTTGGCCTCTCTAATCCAATCCTGACAACCAAACATGACCTAGAAAATTTAGTTTCTTGATTATACCTGGGTGACCTGAGCACCATTTCCTCTACTTGCAACATCCTTGGGTTGAGTTTCTCTACTAGTTGTTGCTTCTTTCACTTTACTATGCTGAATTTTTATAGCACTTTGTTTATCCTTCTCATTATTTACTCTGTTTGAAGCCTCTGCTTGTTGTTGAACTCTTGCTTCTGAATGCGAGTTCTTGGTGAGTATCTCTCTTTCCTGGAAAAAAGAGCAAGGAAGTTGGAAAATTGTGAACCAGTTGATGAATAGTTAAAGCTAAAGCATGACAACTTATCATAAAAACATGCCCACCTGATCTGACTGAAGAGATGCAGCATATGCTGCATCCTGTTCTTCTCTCAACCGCTGATCGGCCCTTCTTTTCTCTTTTTCTTTGGCTCGTGCGCTACCAAAAGCCAATCCTTGCTCCTCCATTGTCCTCTGCAGGATCTCCACCAATTCAGCAGGCGAAACTGGCCCTTCTATCTGTACAAACGAGGCAGGGACAAACGAGCAAATGATCTGGTATTTTAGCAAATTTTTAACTCAAAGGACTTAAAATTGCAAACACATTTGCAAATTTTTCAAAGAAACTTTAGTCATCCAATTCAATTTCCCTTAAGTTGTTGAACCATTACTTTCCATGATAATATTGAAATATTAACTATCTAATACGAAATAGTAAAAAAGTGGATTTTCATTTCAGAATATGCAGTTACAAAATCTAGACCGTGTAATTGCAATTTGCAATGGTATACAGAATACCTTGATAGATGCCAAACCATACTACATCATTGTGGGGCCAATTACCGCGATGGATTTGTTTATTTATTTTTAAATTTCTTTTTTTGCTTATAGTTCATTAACATCTTTTAAAAAAATTTCCACATGTGGCTTTTTGAAAATATCAAATTTACCTATGAAGGTAACATTTTCGAAATTGCCCATATTATGTTTTTTTTTTTCCTTCTCTATGTGTCGGATTTAAACGACATGGAAAGAGAATTAATCAAGGCAGTTTTGAAGATTTTATAGTTGTTATTTAGTACATTCATATATATATATATATATAAATTCATGGTTTAATTAGGACAAACGTAAGGTTTATTTTTATTAACCCTTTAAAATATTTACTTGTTTCGATTCTCAAATATGAACAAATTTCATGTATAGTTCTAGGAAATTAAGATTTTGCAGTGAGTAGACAAAAATTCTAGTTCTGCTCCTGCCCATATATATTATTTATGTTGTGTTTGGTTGAGGGATTTGAGGAGGGATTTGGAAAGGGAAATGAAAAAGGTAGGTGAAATATGAATAAAACATGCCTAAATTTTACATAGTTTCACACATCTTTTCCCTTTCCCTTTCCAAATCTCTGCTCAAATCCTCCAACCAAACACACCATTAGAGAAACAATAAAACCATGTTTGGATCTAGAATTTGTGAATAGAATTATGGAAGGAAAAATAAATGAAATATAAACTAAAATTTTCTACTTTCCATTGACTTTTCATTTTTTCCCCATAAATCTCCCCTCAAATTCAAGATTTAAAAAAAAAAAAATGTTTTTATTTTGTATAATTGCATATGCCATTATGTTTAATATCATTGTCATAGCATTTCCATTATTATAATTTATTCACTGGAAAAAAAAAAGAAAAAAAAAACGGGTAGTCCTATAAAGAAGTAAAGTAGAGTTTTCATCTGTAAATCAACAAATTCACACAAAAATCAAATAGAAAATCAGACACAAAATACACATTGATGGATAGGATTCTGTGTGAAATCCTGTCCATTCATATATTTTCAATGTCTGATTCTGTGTTTGATTTTTGTATTCTCAGACTTAAATTGTTTCTCAATTCACCTGTTGGAGCACTGCCAAGTTATCGCCAGAAGCCGGAGCCACTATTGCACAAAATGGGAAGCTACCAGGCTGCAATGTTGCACCCATCTGTAAACCCTCACCTCTATTTGCAAGTGCACCCCAGCACACAAAATTCGCATCAAGAAACTGCACCACCACCTCTGAACACAAGGTCTCTCTACAGAAAGAGGGTGTGAATGGGTGTTCTGGTGAGTGAAGATACAAGAACATGAACTTGTGATCATCCTCAGCTATCTTGAGAGCCTCCACAAAGCGACAAGCGTAGAAGAAAGGATGTGTTGTACCGTACTGCCGCTCAAAGCTGCTTAGAAATGCCCACTCTTCTTGAATGACAACAGGCTCGGGTGGATATGGAAGAGGATAACTAGGGGATATATGTTGTTGGTTTCTTCTACCTCCTATCCCAATGAGGTCTATTCCATGGTTCATTGCTCTTGAAAAACCGCCTAAAAGGCTCCGAGGGAGGCTCACCATTCTACGCACAATGCCATTGCAGAATGCCTCCCCTGTTGCTCTTGTGCTTCCTCTCATCATTCACAATGTCTGCAAATCTTGCAAAGTATTTTGGACAAGCAAGAAGCAAGAGATCCTAGTGAAGAACCAAGCTCTTAGCAAGTGCAAAAGAGATTTATTTTGTCAATTGTTAAATGTCACAATCAATGTCATAAGGCTAGGCTCGGCGTACATCTTGCCCGCTTAGATCTCGTTTTAGTAAGAGTCTCGTGCATTGTGTTGTAATTTTTTTTTAATCAACTTCATTGGTTCTTTCTTCGGTTGAACTTTAACCAAAGTAATTGGCGAATATGGGGTAGAATGCAAAATTGGTTCTTTTTATTTTTGGTATCTAGTCAATTTTTTTAATAAATGTCTTTCTCTTTTTAATATGCCTTGCTTTGAGAATTATTTGACAGTTGTCTTAGTGGGATATGTTTCATAATATGCTCTTCTCTATGTAAAAAAGTGAGGAAATAGTGAAAAGGGACTATGATGGGATGTGTATAGATAATAACATATAGACAGAATCAAATTCCACTCCGAAAAATACTTGCGAGCACTAATTAGTGCTCCCACTAAGTGTCAGTGGGTCCTATCATTAATGATGTGATATTTTAGTCTTAGAGTTGTATTTTTTTTTTAATTTTTTTAATGCATTAGTGCTATTAGTGGTGATATTTTTAGTGGAATGAATCATTATTGTTCCACTCCTGTCAACCTTCCTACTATTATTATTATTATTATTATTATTATTATTATTACAGTAGTACTAGAGCCTCGAATTCGCCTTGAATGTGCTTCTTTTTCTTTTTTTGTGTTACTTTTTTTGTTTTATTTTGTTCTGTTTTAGGAGGTTATGTGTATGGATGTATCAAAAAAATTAAATATTTCGTACCAACTCATCGTATAAAATTATATGAAATTAACAAATTGGTCAGTCAATTTTATCACTTAACCAGTCCAACCTAATTGATTGATCAGTTAGATTGCTAGTTAAAATTTGTTAATTTCATATAATTTTGTACGATGAGTTGGTGGGTGATGTCTACTTTTTGGCACACCCTATACATGACTACCTTAAAAATATAAAAAAAAAAAAAAAAAAAAAAAAAAAAAAAAAAAAAAAAAAAAAAAACACAGCCCAACAAATAAAATAAAATAAAATAAAATTAAAAAAATTGATCAGTCAATTTTATCATCCAATCAGACTAACCCAACTCACTTGCAAAATGTCTAATTTTTTAACACATCCCTATACATAAGCTACCCTTACCAAAAGAAAAGAAAAGAGAGGGGAAAAAAAACCAAAACTAACACTGTCTTAAAAGAAAAGAAAAAAAAAATAATAAAAATGGGAGACCTCAAATTCGAGTCCTCAGGCATTTTCCTTATTATTATTTCAGAGTTCAAGAAAACTCTTTTCATGTCACCTGTTTGCAACTAATGATTAATAACTAGAAATGACAAATTTACAATTATATTATATATATATATATATAAAAGAGCACTACCAATTTAATCACCATTAGATAATCGTTGTAATCATTTTATTGGTCTAAAATTGCTACACATTTTTTTTCCTTCAAATAAATCTCAATTTCACATCTTAAACAAAAATAATAATAATAACAAAAAAAAAAAAAAAAAATTCCCAATTTGAGACTTCGTGGTAGTTTGAAAGCAAGGTTTATAAAGTCTTACATGTCGGCTGTGTGATTGTGAAGACATGTTGAAATAGAAATACAAATTTGCACTATATTAATATGGAAGACTCAGCTCTCCTTAATTCACCATTTGTATAGAACAACTGAGTGTACGAGTGTATTACTAAATTGAAGAGGATAAGATGTATGTAATTTTATTTTAATGTCAACAAAGATATTAATAAGAAATTTCACGGTTGAGTAAAACTATCTTTTCACATAATGACCCCTAAAATTAAACCAAGAGTAAAGAGAAGAATTTCAATCTTGGATCAATAAAAGAGATTTTAGCAATTTTTGGAATATGAAATAGTGACCACTCATGAAAAATACCATAACGAACTAGGGCACAACAAGTTTGCTAATGGCTGTCAATTAATGCGAGTTCTGATAAAACTAGCTACATGGGAAGAACAAAGTGTATCCAACGCCTAACAAATGCCAAATTCAGATAAAGTTTATGGAAAAAGTTAGGGATCATGAAAATTTTGTCATGAAAATGATCATGAAAAATTTATGATCCTTAGATTACATTGATTAGTGTGTGGTGCTTTATTCTAAGTGTAATTCAAGGGTCACAAAACTTTCATGATTATTTTCATGAAAGGTTTTTTATGATACCTAGCATTGCTGATTAACTGAACCATGGGCATAAATAAATAAATAAATAAAATTTGATGGGTTTGGTTTCAATTTTTTTAAAAATAAATTTTTTATTTTTCGTATTTTTTTATTTCTAGTGAATATTTTTAAAATTTTAAATAATTTTTTTACTTTTGTATATGCACCTTACATAGATTTATCTAAAAAGTAAAATATTTGTAAAAAAAAATTTTAACAAATCAATAAAAATACAAAAATATAAAAAATGTACGAAATTTTCAATTTTTTTTTTTTATATTTTTGGTATTTAGTGAATTTTTTAAAGATTTTTTCCACAAATATTATACTTTTTAAGTGTATTTATGTTAGATGTATCTAAAAAATAAAAAAAATTGCTTAGAATATTAAAAAAAATTCAGTGAAAACAACAAAACACGAAAAACAAAAAAAAAAATAATTTTTAAAAAAATAAATTCTGAAAATTCAAACCAAACAAGCTGATTGTAATTTTTATTTTTGTTTTTCTTATTCTTTTACATAATTTTCAAAGGGAGTTTCTTTTTACCTCTTATTTGCTATGTAGCTAAACAAAACAGATGTACAAACCCATTTTGGGACTGGACTGTCTCCAACCCACCATTGGGCTGGACCATTTAGTTTGGTCCTTTTGAGTTATTTTTTAGTCTCGTTTTGATAATTTAAATTTTTCATATTTTAAAAGGATTATGCTACAGACCCCCACTGGGGGTCGACTTCCAGTGAGGTGGCAACCCCTCATTCGTCCAAATCACAAAAAAAAAAAAAAAAAAAAGTTTTTTTTTTTTTAACCAATGGGGAGCCACCATTCATGACCCCCAATGACCCCCCACTGGGGGTCTGAGGCATTTTTCATTTTAAAATTTACCGAATACATCATTTTTATAAAAAATCAAATTGATTGAATAACAAAATTTACGTGTTTGAATCAATTTTATATGAACTGTTTATTTTCTTACCTTTTTTTTTTCATATAAAACTAATCCGAACATATAATTTTTGTTATTCAATCAATTTAATTTTTTTATAAAAATAATATAATCAATAAATCATAAAATATAAATGATTCAAATTAATAATTTGGAACCAAAAAAAATCTAATAGACGCAACACTACCTCTCCAATTTAATTTGGAACTGGAGGCCCTAAATTTTTGCCCGAATAATGTTAGAGATTCTAAATATTTTATTAAAAATTTTACTAAATGTCTCATATGGGTGTGGGACCCACACAATGTGAGTCCCATGTGAATCCCACACCCATATAAAACATTTGATAAAAATTTTAATAAATTTTTTGAATCCTCTAACATTTTTGTTTTTGCCCTCTTTTACCAACAGGCTGAGCTGGAACTCATGCCCATAATCTACTCTTCCAAGTCAAAGTATTTGCTGACTTGAAGGCTTTTTGTTTTGTAGTGAGCGGGTCTTTCTGTAAAGCTACTGTATTTTCAGCTTTTCTTCCACAAAGGTGATGAAATATGTCGTGCCCTAATCAAATGTTTTCCAACACAAAAAAACAGTAAAAACGAAATAAAATAAAATAAAATTCAAAGACATAAAAGACAATATTTATAATATATATAGTTGTATTTGCAATGTGATCAGGGAGATCAAATTTATTATGCTTGAAGTTCAACACTTTCACATAAAATAAAAAAAAAAAAAAATTGCTCTAAGTACCGGGTCGAGGCCACCTTTCATAAAAAATGAAAAATGAAACCCTTTGCAATGAATTTATAAAAACCTTTTTACGGTGAATTTGTGTACAATAAAATAAAGAAAAAATTTATAATACCACTCTTTAAAATGGTATTTACCATTGCACCTATTATGTATTTATGTAATGTTGTGTTTGTTTGGATGAAAAATAATTTTTGAAAAATAATTTTTTTTTATTTTCTGGTGTTTGGTACAATAAAAAACGAAAGTCAACAAAAAATATTTTGATCAACAGAAAACAAATCTATATAGATAGAAAATATTTTTCACTCTTAAAAGGTGAAAAACGTTTTCCGAATTATAATTTTACCAATGTCACAACACTACCAGTGCTACTCTCACATCTACCATACTATCATCATCACGACTACTGCCACTATTATCATTGCCATCACTGCCATCGTCGCCCCGCCATCACCTCCACCTTCGTTTCACCACCATCACCACCAAATATAGAAAAATGTTTTCCATAGAAAATGTTTTTCATTTGAAAATATTTTTCATCCAAACAAACAGAGTATAATATTACCAGAAAAGTATAATTTCATTTATGAACCACATATTATCGTAATTTTACTCGAAAAAATACGTAACATTTACTATAAATACATAACAATGATGCATATAGTACACACTTTTTAATGGGTGTATACATAAATAAAATACACCTCACAAATAGAAAAGAAAAAAAGAAGGTTCATTACATTTTTAATTCCCAAAGTATGAGTCTTTTGTCATTTTGATCTCCAATATTTAAATTATATCAATTTGATTCCAATATATAAAAGTGTTTCAATTTGGTACCAATATTTAAATTTTGTCAATTTGGTCTCTAATGTATAAAAAAATGTTTCAATTTAGTTATCAATGTCTAAGTTAAACTGAAATATTTTTTATATATTAAGAATCAAATTGACACAATTTAAACACTGGGAATCAAAATGATGCAAAACTCATACTTGACCAAACAACCATGTAATTAAAAAATAAAAATTTTGACATATTTTACAAAGTAAAAATAAGCACACATGGATTCCACATTGATATGAAATGAAATGATCCATCCAGGCCCGTTCTTGAGATTTTCGGGGCCTAAAGTTGATAATCAACTAATAAATTTTTGAGACCCTTCACATTTTTTTTTTCATTGAATGAAAAAAAAAAAAAATTGAAGGTAAAGGACAAAAGATTTGTGTCAAAATCACAAAAAATACTTAGTATTACATTACAACAACTAATAAG